TAGTTTTATAGCTCGCCTGATGATGGAAACATTGTTTCCGAAAACGTTAGCATTTTATAAATAAAATCACGTTAAATTTGTATCAGAATAAGAAGTTTTCTTCACTTATTTTTTCATTTAATTAACTGAACATACTGTCAACAACAACAATAATTTTTTATTTTATTAAATCAAGAAGAAAATGGATAATTTTGTTTACCTCCCTCATCGATACTTCGAGTTCGGATGAAATCTTTTCCTGCAATTCTTCTACTATGTGCTGAATGTTTCCATCTACTAAGATCAAATCTATCTGTTTTTTATATTTCAACATCATAGCTTCCAGATTTGGTAGATTCAATGCGAGATGAATAAGATATCGTTTATCAAACTTTGTATGGCACCATACATCAAATTCTAACTTTTGAATGGTATTCATTTGAGAAATACACTCAATAACTTCATCATCAATCTTTATATTGATATCTAATTTTAAATGTTCTATTGGCACATTGTTTGATAGCAATTCTCGTATCAAATGTATGATCTCAATTTTTTTTAAATAGCATTGAATTTCCAAAACCTTCAAACCTTTTAGTTGACCAATCACTGAATCATGTTTCTCAGAATAGAATATCCAAGGACTGCTTTTATAAGAAAATACTTCCAATTGAGTATTAAGGGATAAAAATATTTTCAAAGAAGATATATACGATTTTTTTCGTTTGTAAAGAGGTGAATCAATTCTAAATGCCACTAATTTCGGTAGCTTAATTGGTGGTAGAGGATATTGGCAAAAAAAATCTTCTAGACTCAGTGCACTCAGTTGAGAGCAAATGGGCAATAAAGAATCAAGTCGTCTGTGTGAACAGTGCAAATGTAACGTCTCTAAACGCGTAAATAATGGAATCAATTCGCTAAACCTTTGTATATCTATAAAATAAGAATCATATGATTTTAATTCAAGTTTACGAATATTTGTGCAATGTTTGCTGATCATTCCCAAAACAATGTCCCTCTTTTCTTTCCACATTGAATAATATCGTCCTGATAAATCATCGTCATCAATTTCATAAATTGATGAATCAAAATTACGTAAATAATCACTTGCTTGTTGTAATGGTAATGATAGCAAAGTCTCCATTAGAATCTGTGTATTGCTTTTGATTCCACAATCAATTTGTTTTTTTGCCAAACCTAGTGCCAAACATTTCTTGGAAATTTGATTGAAGCGAACACAAACACTTAACACTGAACATTGGTCTCGAAAAGGTAATTGCTTGAATATTTCCCTTAAGCAATCATCATTAAGAATATTGAGAATGTTTTTTGGTGAATTTTCATCTGGTGCTTGCAATAATATTTCATCAATATTGATTTTCTCTTTCACTATACCAAAATTGCAAATTTTACGTTTAGTTCTATTTATTTTAAATATATCGTCCCCAATTTTGATTTGTTGTTTTAACAATGCTGCATCAACACTCTGAGATTCATAAAATTCAACATAGATCCAGCAATAGGCATAACGTTTGTCAGTTTGTACAAAAAAATCAATATCTTTAACTGCACCGAATTGCTTGAATGATGAATAAATTTTGTATGTAGATATCTGAAATGAGAAAAATCTATTTGATAAATTCACTAATCTTTTAAGAATGCACGAAAAATGGATGAATGGAAAAACGCTTACTTTGATATGATGAAGAACTGCACTTTCTTTCGAAGGAAAACCCCTATATTTGACTTTTGTTTTCTAAAATTATAAAATAGAAATTAGAGATGTTGCTTTCATTTTTTTATAATTTCAAATGATTGAGAATCATACTTTTATTGCAAAAAGACGGGCAACAATTGCGATGTTTGAATAATCAATTATTGATTGTTCATTCTGGTCAGTTTTTATGTCTGTAGAAGCACCTTTAAGCAAAAATCTTAGAAAATTCATATCAGTTAATAAATGAAGTAAATTTTCTCAGAAGAACAATAAAAACACAGAGTAAAATTTGGTTCATGAGCTAAAATTTTAAATGCAATTTTGTTCTCTTGGAATATTTAGTATTTGTAATTTGATGTCAAAATGTGACAATAATTTGTCTATTGTTGACAAACAATGCTTCACATATGCAGAACACCATATAAAGCATTTGTCAAAGTAATTTGAGATTTGACACATTTTAGCGCGATAATTGCCTTTGTGATATCATACTCATAACCAAAAGAGTGTTCAATTCATTATTGTTTTCATTGTGATATCACAAATTAATATTAATTTTAAAAATTCGAAAATGGCATTTCAACGTCTCCGTCGTATCGATTTAGGAGGAATGGTGGTCATCTATGAAGGAGGTTCCATCAAAAATGAAGCTGCACTTCACGAAGCAGAAAATAAATGTCTTTGTGAAGATGTATCCGTTGCCGAAAAATTAGGTTATTTGTTCAAATGCATTTCGTTGAAACCAATAAGAAGTGTAAAAATGCTTGAAATTCGTGATTTCAAATTGAGAAAAGCTGAGAGATTAATTTTGGTTACAATACTGAAGCATCCAAATTGCACTAATATAGGAAAAGTAAATTTGATCAATGTTCCTGATGCTCTTGATATTCAAAACTACATTTTGAGAGAAGTACAAACGTGTGTGGTTCATTCTATTCTTATTACTATTATTGTTTGGACCATATTTGTAATCAAATTGTTTTTATTCTTCAACTAGGCTTGATTCCAAATCTTCTGACAGTCTACCAGTACCCA